GAGAGGACATCCCACGCAGGCCTGGCCGTTTCGAGACCAGGAGGGACCAAAGGCTGCTTTCGATGAGAGTGAGATCCATCTGCTTGTGCAGACGAAGAGTCTCGATCGGCGCTGGGTGGTCCATCCCACTTTCCCTCTAGCTTCAATAGCGTAGACTCAATACCACCGTCATCGTCATCAGGAATCTGTGCGAACTTCGCAATGACTGACTCAAAGGAACGCCTAATTTGCCGGGAAGTGCGCGGCTGAATAAGTGAGTACCGGGGATTTGGAGGGATCAACGTTGAAGGAGGTCTTGAACCACCGCCATCAGAAGGAGCCGTTTCGTCCACAACTGAGTCATCCCAAGAGGCAAACGAGTCACGACAGGAAGGAGGCTCGGTTTCATCTCCACTCTGCATTTGACGCAAGTTTCCACCTCGGCGTCTGCGAAGAACCGGCCCTGACTGTTTGTTGTTCTGATCTTGCATCACATTGGTGTCAACAATGGATTGAGCGGTTTCGCTGCTCATCGAAAACCGCTGCCTGGAGATCCCGCTTTGGAAGGACGCGTACTTTCTGAGTCGGAGAGAGAGAGAATTCTTCTTCTTGTTTATAGGCGTCGATCCACGTTCGACCGAAGACGATCTCTGCGGCGTGAGAGGGCGAAGGGGGTAGAATACATTTGACTGGGCAGCTGATTCTGATTCGTCGGCATTGTAACAAACCGCCCGAAGATATTCTCCTTCCACAGGTATCGATTGGGTTGAGGCGTCATCGGGCACTTCGAGTTCCGGCGTTTCATGAGTATGATCATTGGCAATTGGCATTGGTTCCTGTGCTGCCGCCCCTGACATGAAGGGCATTTCGAAACCCGTGTCATCGACAATGATGATCGATTCGCTGCCCATGGTGATACCACTCCTCAGTTTGGGGTCGGAATTAACATTTTGCGTCAGTAAAGGATTAGAAGTGCTGGATCCAGGCTCCTGCAGGGTCGCTTGATGAAAGTCAGACGCAACTGCTGGCTGAGTTTGGTCCTTCGTTCCTTCCTGGTTCATAGCCAAGCGGTATTGTTTGAGGACCTCGTCACACAGTACATCAATTCGACCTGGATATTTGGGAACAGCAGCCAACTTCCTCTCTCGGTAGAACTCAGAGCCAAAAGCCAGTCCAGTTGGCATTGCAGATGTCTTCCCGCGGGAAGGCAATGAAATGGCCTCGTGGGTATTCGCAATGCGAGCAGATACGCTTTGTCCACCGTTCCTTGTGTGCAATGCTCGTTTGATTGAGCCAATGATTGTTCTCATACCAGAGTTAGGTGACGACTTAGGCACGTCGGGTGTACTCCGCCGATCCGGATTTGGGTTCTTCAACGGCGGAGGAAGGGGAGGTGATTCCGGCGCCATCATTGTCATGTACGACTCTGCAGGGGGGTACATCTCTCCACGTATCAAACTGACCGGATCGAGCATCTGCTGTGGTGCGGATCCCGTTTCGGGCTCCATCCCAAACATCGGCAGTCGATCATCTCGCACTGAATCCGAGAAGCTGCCGCTTCTTTTATGGCTATGGCTGTGATATGGGTGCCGCGAGACCTTGGGAGATACGGGTGACCTGGGTGGTTCATGGGTTCTGGACGGAGACTTGGATTTTGTGAGACCCAATACCACAGGGCGGGGCGCCTTGTTTTTCGAGGCAGACATAGATAAGCGCCTAGGTAGTTTAGGTGGTAAAGAACACGAAAGCGCCATCAAGCTTTGCTCACTTTTGGCAGAGAAGGGAACACTTTGTGTAGTTGCTGCAGAATCATTTCGATCATGATGTATTGGGAAAGGAAGACTTTCGCGAAAGGTGGTGTCTGTACGGGGTGTCATGCCATGAACAGGCACGTTTCGCTGCAGTTCCTCGGCTTTAGGTAGCTTAATCTGAGCATCTCCAGGCACAATTGGAATTTCTGGGTCGTTATAGGCGCGAGACAAGTCGGCGGAAGACCAATAAACCGAACACTTGCCATTCCAGCAACGCTTCAAGTCAATGAGAATCTTTCGGTCACTCGTACCGCCATGTTGTCGAGACCTAACCTCTGAATATAGCTTGTTGATGGTCTCGCAGAAGTGGGTCCGAAGCTCGTAATTCGTAACAAAGTCATCGACGAAGTAATTGAGAATCCAATGTCTCAAAGCCGCGAATGTTCGGATCCTAATAATGCGTCCATCATCTTGTAGCCTATTAATTGCCCACTTTAAACGCGCAAGAAGAAGAGCCAAAAGGTGTGTTGTGGACAGGTATGAACGGAAGGTAAGGAAGAAGTCCGATACTAGCTCATAGTCCATAAATGACTCGGAGGAGATTTGCGCAACGATTCGGGCAGGCGTGGCAGCACTGATATCCTTTGTCCCAGTGATGTATCGGACAACAGACCCATCATCCATATCATACACCAGCGTTTCATAGATGGATGGCTCAACCGGCTCCTTTAATTCATAGACCATGGAATTCCTTGGAGCTGGCGAAGCTCGGTTCATATCCATAGCCGCCGCGGGGCCGGAGAACATCGAAATCGCAAAGGATGGCCGATGCCGCGAGAAAGAATCTCGGGGATATGGACTATGGAGTCCCGGCAGAGTATCTGCCATGCCCCCAAGCAGTGTTGAATTCCGAAAGTTGTCCGACATCGATGTTTGCGTGTAGACAGAACTCTGGATCATTGCACTACCTTCGGGGTTGAATCGCGGCGACCCGAGCCGATAACGCGGAATAGGAACCTCCAAGGCTGGTGTCGAAATCTCATGTGCAGACTTGGGCCGGTCTTCAGACCTATCAATCACGATCCGCAGCTCCCCGCGCTTCCCAGCACCGGCTATCGATTGCTGCTCCGATATTGTCGAAAATGAAATCGGTCTCGTGCGGTGCTGGCTGGAGAGTTCGGGCGGAGGAGGCACGGAGAGGACGGGCTCGGGATCTTCGGGCTGTTTGCGTGGACGTAACTCAGAGAGCTGCGAGCTCGACCACCTGGATGGATCTGGATCCTCGCGGGTATGTGCATGAGGCTGCGGCTGAAGGAGACTGGGTTTCGCTGTATCGACTGGAGAGAAGGATGCGGGCTGTGGGCTTTTCTGGGGCGGATTGGCAATCGGCCTAAGTTATTGAAATATTTCTACTATCAGCAGGCTGCACAATATGTGACACAGCAAGAATTATGGGTTGTACCTGAGAAATATTTTGCCATTCTGGCCAACACTTCTTACGGTGAAATGGCCGGCCTTCCTCCCGGGTGATCGCGCCTCTAACGGTCCACGATGTGTTTGGGACCGCTGTAGGTTGTTTTGTCGTAGGAGCTCATGGCTATCCTTAGCGTTTATCCCAGCTCTCTCACGCGTTGCCTTCAATTCTAGGTTCCGCTTGAGGCCGCCCTGGGCTACAGTATTGGCGCGGCGAAGAGTCGAAATTGGAGGCCCACTAGACATTCGGTTTGAGGCTGGCAGTTCATTAATTTGGACTTGCGGGCCCAGAAAGGCATCCTTGAACTCCGGATCGGGTGGAAAGGACTCCATGACGCGAAAGCTATAAGAATCGAACTCCCGTCGCGACGGGGCCCTTGGACAAAATCATATAAAATAGAAGGTAAAAAATAAAAGACAGCTGTTGTGGAGATGACCCGACGTGGCGGGAACGGAAGAACAGGAACTGGGAACGCTGGGTCCCAAGGTGTTTGGGAATTGCCCCTTTTACCGCTTGTATTTTATTATATATAATCTATCTATTTTATTATATTAATTTGACTCTACAGTATATTGTATATGTTTCTACTACTCATCCCTTCAACATTCTACATGGATGGTGTAAGGGAGGTGATAGGTCACCGGAAGCATAGACCCCCCGAAAAGAACTGTCTCGGGCCTGAATTTACCAAAAGTACAGTGTGTACAGGGTACTAAAGTACTTAGTGTAAGCAGGTGGCTGAATTCACCGTTATTTTCATCTCCACATGAAACTGGGAACATTCCAAGAATTGGACATCTAGATCTATCAACTTATGTTTTACTTTGTACTCCGGAGTCCGTTGTTTCGACTCAAAAATGTGTCTCGATCATGTCTCTCAAGCAGAATGAGATTAATCTGTGTGACGCCTCTTTTTAGAAAGCAATTTACCGCGCAGCGCCCTAATTTAAGTCATTGGCCTACTTTATGTGCTAGTGCAACGGAGTAGATACTCACATGACCCCAAAGATCTGAACATCGTGTGATTATCGGGAATTTAGATCAGGAAAATTGGCAAATTTTCGGGTCGGATTCATCTATCGCTCTGGCTCCGTAGATGATATATTCCGTCAATGTCAATTTAGCCTCCAAGGCTCCAAGTGTACTCTGTACTCCGTACATCTTCAGCAATTCACCCACTTCAATGTACCTTTGCCGAGACGAGACGTCACATGTCACATGTCGATCAAACTGACAGAGAGATCCCTAAGAATTGACATATCCACATAAAAAAACGGCCCCAAGGCCACCTAATTCTGAAGAGGTAAGGATCTAGGTAACTAGTAGATCCGTTGGCTGACTCTTTACCTCGGCCTCTTCCTCTCTCTTTTCGGGTTCTGGGCGATACTGGATTTTTTTCTGCCCTGAGGCCCGCTACCGCTTGTTTTGCGCGACGATCGCTGTGGAGATCAATAGTTGTAGGGTTTCGGCATCTTGGCCGAGCAGGATGCCCTCCGCTCGGGTATCGTTAGCAGCCAGATGTAGAGTCAGCGATATATCAGACAGCGGTTTGCTTTGTAGATTTAAGCGAAAAGCGCTAGTAATATATGTTGAAGCTCTAGTCTTTTGGTAATATGCTAAAATTTTGGGTTGGACGCTTCTGTCTCAGCGGGAGACTGACGGCTTGAGATCTCACGAAGAACCTAATATGCCAGAGGTCATCGCATCCAGGGTGGCTTGACCAAGGCAAAATACTCGAATTACTCAAAGCTCATAAAATAAAATGCCATTGACAATACGGAGTAAACTATTCAAAGCTACCAGAGCTTGCAAACCGGCTTCCTATCTGGGCAACTAAAGGCGTTCTTGAACTCCCTAGAATTGGCCATGGTTTCCTGTGACGGTTAGTGATGGCACACAAGGAATGCATTAATGAGACTTACAATAATTCGTGCTGATTTAGGCGCATGGGGATCATTATAGATCGCCTGCTCAGCTGCCTCCTTGGTAGTCTTTCCACACCACCAATTACCGTAAGATATAAAGAACAGCTGCTCTTTGGTGAATGCATCCAATCCCGGGAGGTGGGGGTCAGGCTTTGCCTCATCGTGCTTCTTCCATGCGTGATATGATGCCGTCAAACCTCCAGCGTCGGCGATGTTCTCGCCCAATGTCAGTCGTCCGTTCACGTGGAGGACCTTATCCTCGGGACCAGTGACGGTAAACTTGGAATACTGGTCGATAAAGCATTGAGCACGCTCTTCAAATGCCTCAACGGTCTTATCGTCCCACCAGTTAGTGTAGTTTCCACTCTCGTCGTAGTGGCGACCGGTAGAATCGAAAGCTATAAACCACAGTGTTAAAAATTGGCAATAGTTTTGCAGGGAATTGAACATACCATGTGAAAGTTCGTGGCCACTGACGGCACCAAATGCACCATATGCCAGATACAACGGTGCGGAAGGTCCGTAGAACGCTGGCGGCTGCATAATGCCGGCAGGGAAGACGATCTCATTGCCTGGCGGGTTGTAATAAGCGTTGACGGTCGGTGCACTCATACCCCATTCGTCACGGTTGGTGGGCTTGCCGAGCTTAGACCATTCGTTGCGAAGTTGGAACCTTGCCACAGCCACCTCATTCTCAAAGAAGGTGTCCTTGGACAATTCCAGGTCCCGATAGAAGTTATTCACATCCTCGGGGTCCAAAACATTGGGACTCTTTGTGGGGAATCCGATCTTCTGGATAATGTTCCCCACCTTCTCAATGCCCAATTTTCGCACATCTGGAGACATCCAGCTAGTTTGATCCAGGGTGAAAACAAATCGCTCCTTGATATCAGACACGATTTGATCGCCAAGTTTCTTTGAGTCCTCGGAGAACGCATCGAGCACATAGAATCGGCTGAGACTCCATTCAAGCCCTTCATCCAGATGCCCAAGGCATTTACGCCATCTCTCCTCCTTGGCCTGAGGTTCTTTGCCAGCGAGTTCGTTTTTGAATCGCCGAAGGGGTTCAACAGAGGCATCCTCAATAACATCCGCAAGCGCTTGGATGAGCTTCCATTGCAAGAAGAGCAAAACGGTCTCTCTGGGTGTATCTTTCAAGAGAACAGACAATGCCTTCATATAGGAAGGCGACCCAACAATTAGGCGATCACCTTTGTAGTCAGGGGGCGCCAAAGATGAAATAATATTAGCAAAAGAAATCTCAGGCACCAGTGCCTCCGTTTCCTTGATACTAAGGGGGTTGTAGTATTTGGTGACATCTTCCTGGGTTTGGGTGTCCGGAGTCACATCTGCGAGCTTCTTTTCAAAGGCTACAACATCCTCGGCAATTTTGTCGAATCCATCTCCAGCAAGTCCCCGAACAACTTGCTTCAAAACGGTAGTATAGTCAGCCACGGTCTTTGTGTTATTATAGTACTCTCTCGCTGGTAGTCCGATTTCGCGAGGCGGAGAGATCATGATAACAACATTATCAGGGTCTCGATCGTCGGGCTAGAGGGAGTCAGCAATGGCCCCCATAAAGTATAGGTCGCATAGACTTACAGTAACACCGGAAGAAGCCAGAGCCTCGACACCAGCATTCGCTAGATACAACAGAGCATTGGTGAGTTGATCTTGCGCTCCTTTCACAAGACCTGCCTTCGCAGGGTAGATAGTCTTCAGCTCATCCAGAATATTAGTCAAAGGCTTGCTGCCTCGTTTGCTGACTGTAGCCTCGTCCAAGCAAGCATCGTACGCTGCTTTGAGTTTCTTGAAATTATCAGCATCAGATGACTGCGGCGGTTCTGTACGCTCCAAGATATGGCGAAGTTTAGTCTGGGCGTTCTCTTGCATGATTGTGCCCGCAAATATCGATCCCTGGTCGGGCCGCATGTCATGGTGCTCCCTCCATCCACCACAAACATATTGGTCAAAATCAGTGCAAGGATCTATGTCCGCATAGTTGGGGTCCAGATTGTAGAGGATTTCAGATGCAGCATGAATGCATTCTTGCGACTGGCAAAGCGGGGGAGCCTCGGGCAGCGGGGACGGGTCCTCCTCGGTAGGCGGATAGCCTGATTAAAAGAACGATCATGTTAGCGACGCATTTTAGTCGGGAGAAGGAACTCATACTATGCGGGGGACTTAGACAGTAGGTAACAAGACCGGTGATCACAAAGACACAGAGGCCTTTTCTCAGGGTTCTCGCCCAGCAGGGGCGAGTTCTTTGTCCTTTGTTGTGAGGGGTGTGGCTGGAAACAACGCCATTGTCCTCGGAATCGTAGACTTCGTTTACATCCAGAAGTGGACCTTTCTCGGACTCCATACTGTGCAACGAGTAATTGGGGTTTGCTGTGCTCACTGGGGAGCTATTAGCACCTCATAGCTACCGAACACGATACGCTCATGAAGACATACCTGAATTATGGTGGAGCAGTTGGATATACACTGTTTCAGGAAGATGCGTATCTGAGAATCATGGACTGAATGAGTCTCGGTGCATATTACTTGGGCAACGAGGAGAAGCTGGGGAATGGCGTCACACTCGGGACCATGAGGAACTCTTGGCGGCTCCAGCTTCCCTGTCCAGGTGGAGCTCTGTCCACCAATGAGTCGGTTGCATTCCGAGATCACCTGGACACGTCCAGGAACTAGGTATTAGCATGCATTTCAGCTGATAGTTGGTGAGAAATATTTGCTCTGAGAATTTTCATGTTCTCCAATAAGTGAGGTCATATGCTGAGCGACTAATTTGTGGGAAACCCTGGGAAAATACCATTGTCATCAATTTGTGCCGATTAATTCCTCGACATAGAGTCAAACAAGGGACTAGGCATTCAGCAATTGAGTTTTATACCTACGGTTGCTCCTGGCCAAATATGGAATGAATGGAATGGGACTGCTCATAAAATTATCAGAGTTATGTATTAGAAACGTGGGAAAATCTCTTGAGTCACAAGATGATGATGCTCTAGATCAGTTGGAACCTATCAACAGTCTTCGATAAATAGTCTGGATCTATCATGATTTGTCCAAGAGCAGGTTTTATACGGAGGAGACCGCATATACAGGTTAAATATATGCCCCAGACATAATCACAACAATGCTGGACATTACAGCCTAGCCAAAGGCCCATATGCATTTACAATTGCTAGGCTTTCTGGTCTGATTTCGGAGATGGATCTACAGCCTGTGAGCTGCATACATCGCTTGAAGTCATCGAACAGGATCTTGAGCATTAGCTCGACTCCCTGTTGACCGTCATACTACATAAAAATGGAGTCAGTTTACCCGCCTCTATCAGGATTATTCATGTAACAAGCAGCACTTACCGCGAGTCCCCAAAGTGCAGGACGGCCAACCCAGCAGCATTCAGCACCAAGAGCCAAGGCTTTGAAAATGTCCACCCCAGATCGAATTCCACCATCAATATGAATCTTGATCCGCCCCCGCGCGGCCTTAGCACAGGCAGGAAGCGCATCAATTGTGGCCGGTGTCTCATCCAGCTGCCGACCACCATGATTGCTAATGATAATACCATCGCAGCCATATTCAATAGCAGTCTCGACATCTTCCGGGGTGAGAACGCCTTTAATCCAAATCTCCATCTTCGTAACGCTGCGCAGCCACGGTATCTCCGTGGCCCAGGAATGGGAATCCGAGTTTGTCGAGCTAAAACCATCATCGTGAGATTGTTGCTGAATCTCGGCAGATGTTCTTTCATACATCGGATACCCCAAGCCAACTGGAGGAATGAATCCATTCCGCCATTCATTCCAGCGCACCCCAAGTACGGGACTATCCGCAGTCAGGAATATAGCCTTGCAGCCTGCAGCCTCGGCCCGACGGACAATTCGTTCTTGTTTAGCTTTGTCGTTCATCGCGTAGAGCTGCATCACATGATGAATTGGTCCCACTTCTTTTCCAGCGATGGTAATCTCTTCAACCGAGTGATTGGCATAGGAGGAGACACCCATATTGACGCCCATTTTGGCACAGGCTCTGCTTGTGGCTAGCTCGCCTTCTGGGTGAGCCAAAGCCTGCATTCCGGCGGGTGAGACACAAAGGGGAAATGTGATATCTCGGTCAAAGAGGGAAACCCCAGTGTCGACACGCGAGACATCTCTCAGTACCCTTGGTAGGAGACGGTACTTTCTATACGCAGCATAATTGTCGTGGAGTGTGACTTGGTTCGTTGCGCCGGAATTGAAGAAGTCTATTCGCGTTAAAAGATAAGTATTCACCGTAGCAAGAGAGTTAATACATACCTCTCGCAGAGACGGATAGTGAGTTAGAAGCCGCCTCCTCAAGATCAGCCATTGATAATATTTTATTTGCCATTGCAAAAAAAGAAAGCAATATATATATTGATAGAGAGATGTAAGAACATCACATCTTGATAGTAGTCGACGTGAGGGGTAACCTTGGAAATGTGGGGGGATTTTACAATCTGTTTATCGCTTGTTCCCTCTAGACATGGACAGCTCGCCAGCATAGAGCCTATTATTCTAATAAGCATTAGATTGTATAAATTGAGAGGACATTGACATGGGAAAGGGTGCATTATGCTCAGAACATGCGTGTCCGGCCGTATGAAGTACCCTATGGCATGAAAGCTCTGTCTGATGTGAACCCCTGAGACTTCATTGGATTACTATTGGGTATACGTAGGATATTGAAAGAAGCTTGCATTGTAACATCTTGTCAAATCTCTGGGATTGGAATACCCACTGGAATATTATATCCTTCAAGAATGGATCGAGGTGTTTTAGCCTGACTCAGGGCTATTATATAGAGCATATAGCCGAATATTATATGCAGTATTTCGCGCGCAAGAATGTTTTCTTTATAGGACTCAAGCATAGAAAGTGAATATACTATACATATCACACCTAGAGAAAGCGTTTACTATCAAGTACTTCAAATAGAACAACAATAAAGATAAAAGAATCTGAAAAGGAGTGGTATGAAGGGACTATGAGATGTCGGAAGCCTTGACATGAGACCACTAGAATCGTCCAGTAGATGATATATCTCTATTTCTACACTATCCTTTCTACAAATTATCAACCTAGCTTGGCAATGTTGATAGTTTCCTTACACTTATCCAGAGATAGGAATGTGCAGCCTAATTAGTAGTTGTAGGTGCCATTTGACTGCATACTTAGGAGGCCATGACTAAACTAATCGATGTTACTTGAGCTTGCTTTCTCTTTGGCAAGCTATGTTCAAGATAAAGGCTACTTGCTCACTATAGCCTCTTTAGATTCAGGCACTGTGCGGGGTTTTGATAGTACAATCCTCCACATCATCTTTTTGCTTCAGATATCTCTGAGATCCATGTACATGATAGGCTATCCGCCCACAATGCCAAGTTAAACCAAGACTTCCCCGGCTTTTCATGTTCTCCTCTACTTGGCATCAAGCGCGAAGCTGAGGGGTAATCTTGGTAGTTCCCTGGATTCTTCAATGGCCCATTTTGTTCCGAGGGTATTGCTGTTACTATGTTGAATAAGCTCGGTTAAGATTCTCTTAGGAGGAAGTGCCAAAGTACTCTCTATATATTTATTCTCAATTCACTTCTTCACATCTGTAGCTTCTCGCTTTGTTGAAATATTAAGAAACACATCAGTTAGCGACAATGGCATCGATTTCGACCAGCCCCCCAGATGATGAATCTATGAAGAAAGAGGACTTGGAGGTTACCCATCTTGAGGAACAAGAGCTGGCACATCGCAATTCTGGCAATGAATCCCCTGTGTATGGTATTGACGAGGCACATCAGAAAAGGGTCATGTGTGTTCTCTCTACATCCAACATGGTCAACAAGTCAACTCTAATATTTGGACTAGTCGACGTGTTGACCTCCGACTTCTCCCAATTCTCGGAATCATGTATTCCATATCACTTATCGATAGGACGAACCTTGGTCTTGCATTTGTAGCAGGGATGGAGGAGGATCTTGGACTTGATATCGGCAACAGGTATACCATCGTCGTTATGGTGTTTTTTGTGGCATATATGTAAGCTCTCTGATATTACTTGGAAGTGTTTTGGAGGCAAAGATTTTCTGACTTTGTATCTCACTTAGTATATTCGAAATACCTAGCGTATGTCCGCGCACATCAACCAGGAATTATTGATAATGAATGAAACTAACCTCGGCAGAATCTCATCCTTCCTAGAGCCGGTGCAGCAAACTGGCTGGCCTTTCTTGGATTTAGCTTTGGAGTGATCTTGATCGGCATGGGTTTCACTAAAAGTTGGACTACAATGGTAGCTTGTCGAGTTCTGTTAGGTAAAGAGAGGTCCTCCTTTTCCATTCTACTTTACTGACCCGTCAAACTTTTTTAGGTGCAATGGAAGCCGGATTTCTTCCAGGTATAATAAAATGGACTGTGTCTCCAGGTTAACTGTTACTAACTATACAGGTTGCACCTATCTAATTACATGTTGGTACACGCGATTTGAGGTGGGCAAAAGACTGGCCAGTTTCTGGCTGGTTTCGGTTGTACTGAACGCCTTCGCTGCAATTTTTGCATATGCCTTGACCCTACTAGATGGGAGCTACGGTCTGAATGGATGGCGCTGTAAGTTGTTCAACCCCGTGCCATGGGAATAGTAACAGCTGACTGTAATTCTCTAGGGATTTTTATCGTCGAGGGTGCCATTACCAGTAGTATCTGTTTACTTGGCTGGTTCATCATCATCGATTTTCCAACTCAAGCAGATACGTTTCTCGAACCGGAGGAAAAAGAATTCATCATCGCTCGCATCAACAACGACAGTGGAGATGCGGAAGAGGATCCAATTAACATGGAACGGGTTCTTTATCATCTTAAAGACTGGAAGTTGTATGTCTGGGCATTCAACCTCATGGCCTCCACCCTGCCCGGATATGCATACAGCTACTTTAAGACAGTCATCCTCATGGGCATGGGCTTCAGCAGCACGCAGAGTCAGCTTCTCAGTGCCCCGCCTTACATTATTGCTGCAATCTTTACATATTTAGGTGGCTGGTTTACCGACAAATATCAAATCCGCGGGCCGGTGATTGTTATCCATCAACTTCTGACAGCAGTGGGGATGTTGATCACAGCTTATGGTGGTGCAAGTGGGGCAAGATACTTTGGGATATTCATGGGTGAGCTCTCAATATTTTCAGAACGAAAGGTGATATACCTAACGTTTTACTCCAGGAGTGGGATTCCTGCAGTTTTGTATCCCCGGTGTGCTCGCATTCCAAGCAAACAACATTACTTCACACTCGAAGCGTGGAGTCGCATCAGCAACCTGTCTGATTGGCGGAGGCCTTGGGGGTATCATTGCGAGCGTCGCCTTCAAGTCTGATGAAAGTCCACATTATACTACGGGTATTTGGGTGACATTTGGTATTACAATCGTTAGCATAAGCTTAACGCTAATGATGGACTTTCACTTTTGGAAAACAAACAAAAAGGCCCGAGAGACAAATGGTCAGATTGAGGGCATGACAGGATGGTACTATACTCTGTGAGTATGACATGCTGATATTGGAGAAATCGTGGAATCAATAGGAGCGTTTGTAGCTGTTTGTATTAGAAAGCCACATGACCCGCCCAATGGAGGTTCAACTCTATGTGGTAGGTTTATATTTCAAATTGTTTGCAAATAACATCATGCGATACTCCACAATAATCACATCACCAGAATACAAAGAGCACATGAAAAAGACTAGTTCTGCAAATATATACCTAACCCTATGGCTCTCCTTGTGCCGCAAGCTTCACATCTATAGATCCTTCCACCTATGCCCAATAAGCTCCCCAACCTCGACTGCAATTGATCGACTCGAACTGAGACTGACAAAATGCAATGTGGCATCGATGCCATTGAGCATAGCGCCCGTCGTGATGATTCTGACTCCAAACCGGCTCCGGCCAGCATCCAGATAGTGAACCAGTTCCGAGGGATCTTCGGGAACGATTCGAGTCCCTTCTGCACCCGTAGTATGGTCCACATAACGTTGGACTGCGTCTCGTAGCCCAGGGAGAGCAAGACGGTGTGTGGTTGCAGTGAGGCCATCAAGCACACCTGCAAAAGCTAACAAGTAGGATCCGATGCAGACGGCCAAGATGGTATGTTGCCGCACGTTCTCTTGGTCCATATGTGATGCAAAACTGCTGATAAATTCGACAAGCTCCGATAGCTGCCCCTGCTCGGGTTCCACATGTGGTAGGATATGGTTTGGTCGTGAGCCAGGAACGATCAATATTTCATAGTCGGACAGTTGGAGTTTGGCGTCAGCAAGTGATATGTCTCTCTTAACTGTCACGTTCTCTTGAGATGTTGTGAGCTCATCCTTGGCGGCATAGCTCACGGAGAAGTCCGAGTTGTAGAGCACTGAAACCGGACCACTCACATCGAGGATGTTGAACCCGGGGAAGATGACCACTAGCGCTCTTTTCTGTATGTAACCCATTGTCAATTTTGAGCGGAGAATATAAGACTCGGTTCTGCGAGATGGAGTTTCTGTCTGAAACTATTCGGTGACGTCACCAACACTCCCGGCAAAGAGAGTTCATGGCACCACATCAAACCATTCATCTCCTAGTCCATATAGCGATTCATGGTATATATGGATCTTTTTAGTATCACAATAAGATTAATGTAAAGAGAAATCTTGCATGGTCGATACTCCACAGTATACAGCTGAATGCCTAACTCTCTGATATCTTTCAGTGTGAAAGCTTCACATCTATTGCTCGAGCTGAGCTTATCTAATTCATTGCTGCTTTACTTCGTGCAAGAATACCGTTTAATTGCTGGCGGAAACCGCGCCGCCATCAATTTATCTAATCCCCTTTGGGAGTATATACTCCCGTCCTCACTATCCTGGGGGACCCTGGTCTAAAGATAGACCCATCAAAACGGCCACTAAAAACCGCTTATAGTTCTCCATGTTTCATTTATTATTTGCTCCTTTTACACTCGAAGAAAATCCCCGAACGAAAACTCCGTAGCGTCTCCCATATTAACTGATTTGACGAATATGTACTATGCTGGACTAGGTATATCAGCCGGAGCTATTCCCGAACGACTCACGCTCAGGCATTGAAAAAGCGGAAACTGTACCTACTACTGTCAAATGCTGATCGACAATGTTTAAATTACTCCAGTCCCACTCGACGCCCCTGGATAGTTTGGCCGTTGGCGGATTTACCATTAACTTTTATACTCCGTACCGGCGAGTTCCCATATGGATTAATGGGAGGCTAATATTAGATGGTCTTTCGAAAGTCCCATTTGCGACATATCGGTTTACTTTGGATTTCTTATGT